GGGGGGCGGGGGGTTGGTGGAGTGAGTAAGATGGACACAAAGCTAGAGGATCCCCTCAGGCACTTGCTTCCTCCCCCTTACTATTAGCTCCTGAGCATCCATGCAAAATAATGTGGCAAATTACGTTATAAGTAATATGGTCTTTAGGACCCAAATTAGAAGGAGAAAGGAAAATAACTAATATTTAGTGACCCTCTACCATATGCCTGGGTATGCTTGGGGCTTCTCATATGTTCATCTTCCTGACGGAAAATGAGGAATCTTCCTCCCAGAGATGGAGAGACTAGGACTCAATGCCTTCCTTCCCAAGATTTAGGATCTGGCTGCAAAGCTGGGGTTTCCACATCTGGTTGTGTCTCTGGAACCTGGCTTCTTAGCATAGGAGAATGGGAAGACACTGGGGGGTCATCTAAACCAGTGGTTCTCAAATCTCAGTGTCCATCGGAACCCTGTGGAGGTCTGCTAAAACCCAAATTGCTGGGCTGGAGTGGGGGAATCTCAGAATTTGTTTTTCTAAAAAGTTTCTAGGATGCTGATGCTGCTGGTTCAGAGACCACACTTTGAGAACCTATGGTCTAAACTGTGGTTTCTCAAAGTATCGGATGAATAGCTCTAGCAATACACAAGGTGGTTTTAAGTGACACACAAACTTTTAAAAAGTACTTCTGTATTTAATATCTATTAGCAAAAAAAATAACTAGCATACCAAGTCCATGATTTTGGGTATTTTTTATTTAGGTAAGATAACTACTGAAATAAAAAGAAGATATAAAGAAAAGTTTACATGAATAATAACCCTGATGGTATGCAGCTAGTAGCAAAAATTATAAATGTAGTATATAAATAACAAGTCTGGGAGATGCTGATCCAAACTGAAGGGCTGACTTTATAGAGTAGACCATGCACGGCCCACAGAGGTGAGCCTGCCTCCCTGAGCCTGTTGGCCATCAGGAGTAGCGTCCATACTTGAACTGTTTCTGAGGTCGCTATGATGCCCTGTCCTGCCTGCCCCTCACAGTTAGTTCTTCAGAAGCTCTGGGAAGGTCATTGTGACTCTGATTCCATCCCACAGGTCTTAGTCTCCATTCTCAGCTTCACAGACAAGGGTCTGTGTTTATAATGTTGGTAGTTTGCATGTTTGGAACTTGTTTGTGTGAAAACAGAAGGCAGGGACTTGATCTACAAATCTGTCCTTTTATGGCTCCAGGCCCCGAAGCCCCCAGGAATCTGTTCCGTGTATGAAGGTTGCAGGAGGGACTTGTGTGACTTTCTTGGCTGCCCGCTTTGGCTTTTTCACCCTCTGTGATCTTGCTTTTCTGTTTTCTGGCCCATCAGCCTCTGCTTTCGCTTGTGTGCTACGATCCAGGGAACTCCTAGAATAAACGGGAAGAGTGTCCTCAGATGTTGGCTGAGCACGTGCTATGCACCAGGGGCTGTGCTGGGCTGAGCTTCAGGAGCACGGCAGGAGTCCTCAGGGCACGGGAGGTCAGCCCATAAACAGAAAATGACCAAAAGTGTCGTGCTTGCTTCAGAAGAGGAATTAACAGGGTGCAAGAGTGACACAGCGTGGTGAGGGACCTGGGAAGGCTGCAAGAAGGAAGTGATATTGGAAAGGGTTTTTAAAGGATAAATACCGAAAGGCTGTTTAAGGCAGTGTGAGGAGACATGATGCAGGGAGCCGTGGTCGGTCATTCAGAAAGGACTTGAGTGGTGGGAGATGAGATGCAAGAGAGCAAGGGGCAGACTCAACAGCTGAAGACCTGTAAGCACTGAGGGGCCAACCTGGGGCCAATAAGATAGACTCTTGCATGTTGGGTAGACCCTTCGAGGGACAGTGGAAATAGTTGTTCAAACTGCAGGCCACACCCATTGGTGGGTTGCAAGATCTATTTAGTGGGCCTCAGCCGACATTACTTAAAAAGGGGAATAAGGGAGACATAAAATAGAAATGTCAGAGTGGATTGCACGTAGTAGAGGCAGATGATGTCAAAACACTTGCCTCAGTTGAATGTAAGGAAAGTGTATGTATCCTGGTTGCAATGTCAAATGTATTTTTTTACTATGGGTCACACTTCTAAATGCTTAGAAATTATTTCACGGCACAGAGGGCTGACTGGAAGGGGTGAGGCTGGCCAGGGTGGTTATGTGGGCCCGGGGTGATGCAAGCCAATCTGAGCCCTGTAGGGACTGCAAGGTGAAGGTGGGTTCCAGTGTTGGCCCCATGTGGAGAGTAAAGATAGAGGATTTGAAACCAACTCAAGTCAGAAAGTTTGACACCAGCCCAAAGCTCTTGGGCCAAAATAACATCTTGTTTGAAACACTTGATCTTGGTCCCCTTCTGGTGGCAAACTGCAGGCCTGAGTTTCAGGGGACCTGGAGCGAAGGATCCCCCTGTTCTTTAATGGGTGATGTCCTGGCCGTCTGGGGTGCTAGTGTTACAATTCTGACCTTCCATTTCAGTTATTGAGGGTTTTCAAACAAAACTCAGGCAGGCTCCTCATGTCTGCAGGTTTGATGAGGATGTCTTTGGGGGAACTAGGCTGGTTCTGACCCTGGCTGTGCTGTCTTCCCACTAGGAACATCGTGAAAGGCATGAGAGAGCTCCGGGAGGTCCTACGGACTGTGGAGACCAAAGCAACTCAGAACTTCAAAGTGGTAACATGGAGGGGACCCCAGGGCTGGGTGCTGGGTGCTGGGTGTAGCTGGTTTACTCGGGGGTCAAGTTCAATGGGAGATAGCAGAAATCCTGGCAGGCATCAGGGATGGCCATGTGTCACATGCATACTTCTCTCCCAGTGTGCTCATGGCACACATTGTCAGTCGGTCACAGCACTTTCCCACGAAGCCAGGAAGCACCCGTAGCAGCCTTCTCATCACACTGCAGGTGGCCCCAAGCCTTGGGTCAGAGTTGAAGCCTGCTGGCACCATACCCTAGCAAGGTGGTGGGCTAATTCTTAGGGATCTTTGCTCTTAGTAAATAACCTTGACTCTGCTTTGCTGCCCCAATTCAGGCCTGCCTTCTGAGGCTTTCATTCACCCCATATCAGAGCCAGAGCAGCTTTTCATTGTAGAATTTTTGGTCAAATATCAGAAAGGCATTTGGTAGAAAGAGCTAGTTGACTGTGCTATGGCTTTTCAATGTCAAATGTTTTGTGTGTTTTTTTACTATAGGTCACACTTTTAAAAGCTTGAAAGTTATTTTAAGGCACAGAGGGCTGACTGGACGGGCTAAGGCTGATGGGGTGATCATGCAGGCCTAGAGAGGGCCACGCCAGTCTGCAAGGACCTGTGGATACTCAGAGCTGTTCTAGGCCCCATAGGGTCAGGAGAAGGGGAAATGCACCTCTTGTCTAGGAGGGAGAGAGGAAAAAAGATTAAGTAGGAGCCGTCAAAGGCCCACAGAAAGGACGCTGGCTCACCACCTGCCGTGCCCGAGGGGCTCCTGGGAGTGGAATGGTGGGCCTCCTGGAGGGGCTGCACTTGGCAAGGCTGGGAGGTGGGTGGAGGGCACTCTGGCCACATCAGGGGAGAGTGACCTGGGCCTGAGCCTGATCCCGCCCTTTCTGCCAGGTGGCGGCCAAGCACCTGGCGGGGGTCCTGCTGCACTCCCTGAGTGAGGAGTGCTACTGGAGCCCCCTGTCCCAGCCTCTGCCCGAGTTCATGAATAAAGAAGAGAATTCCTTCATCATGCAAGCCCTGCGCAAGCCTCACCTCTACGAAGGAGACAAGTAAGCTCTGCCCCTGCTGGACCATGCCAGTCTCACGCCCAGGCTCCGGCCCCGCTGGCCGCCCCTCTCTCTGCCCCATGCCAGCTCGCTGCCAGGCAGGCTCTTTAGTGTCAGCAGGAGCCACGTAACCTTGGCAAGGCAGGTCTCGAGTGGGGGTTGGCAGGAGACTCCTAAAGAGCATCCAAAGGCCACACAAATTTTGGGGGGAGCACCTGTCTTCCTAGTTGTCTTACTTAATATCGCATCTCTCTTGTTTGTGGCAGTAATTGAAGGTGGGGTCTGTGACCGCCCGGCAGACTCCTCGCCCAGCCTCCTCACACAGTGCCAGGCACTGGAAGGGCCATTTCCCCAGGAGCAGTCGCAGTATTTCCAGGCTGGCGCCACCCAGCATTTCAGATCCATAACTCTGGGGCGTGAGCCAGCACTGCAGGTGGCTCCAGTGCCTGTGAATTATGCAGGAGAGGGTCACCTTACAGGGCTGGGGCAGACTCCGGGCAGAAGGCGGGCAGGTGACGGGCCGGCGGCACTGTGAGGGCCCTGCTGGAGCCACGCGCTTGTTGTGTCTTTCAGCCTCTACTGCCCAAAGGACAACATCGAGGAAGCCCTCCTGTTGCTCCTCATCAGCGAGTCCATGGTAAGCTCCAGGCCTGCCCCTGCCCCACTAGGCCCTGGCCTCCCAGGGTCATCCCTGAAGCAGGATTCTCAGATATACCCCCATCCCACCCCACCTCCACGGGGGTGAGGTGCACAAGGTTTGGGTCGGGTGCATAAGGCTGCACTTGGGGTCCTGGGTCCTGCCCCCAAATGAGGAGGGCTGAGCTAACAAGTCCCCACCCACCTCTTCTGGGATTACAAGAGATGGATATCAGCGTCAGCTGTCTGCATCCTGCAGCTCTGTGCTGGGTAAGGGAATGGGAGGAGCCTGCAGATGGCCTGGGTGCGAGTTCCAGCTCTGCCACTCGTTAGCTGAGGGCCCTGGGCAAGCCGCCTAACCTCTCTGAGCCTCAGTTTCCTCACCTTTAAAATAAAAGGAGCTCCCAGAAGTTAGTTACAACGTGCCTGTAAAAGGAATTTACTTGTTCACAAAACTATTTCTCCAGTGTCATCTACCTTGTGCCAGGCCACCTGCTAGATGCCAGAGTTGCACCAGCAAACAAAACGGAGAAAAGTCCCTGCTCTCATGGAACTGACATTCTAGTGAGGGATGGGCAATACATTAACTACTAAAATATCCCGGATACCAGTGTCTGTGTGCCGTGGGAAAATAAGGCAATGGGGGGATACGGTGTGCGGGACAGAGCACATGTGAGGTGCTTCTCAGATGTTTTTATGAGCCCCATCCCTGCCTTAGGCAGGGAGACAGCACACACACATGCGAACATACACATGCATGCATGCGCGTGCACACACACACACACACACACACACACGCCAGGGTTTGGAGGCTCAGCAAAGGGGAGCGGTGTAGTTGGGTGGTCCAGGAGGTGGTGAGATGATGGATGCCCTGGTCCAAGGGAGGTGGGGGAGAGTGAGCAGGAGCAGCAGAAGCCAGGTGTGGAGATGCTGTCAACACGGCATGGCCTGGGGGAGCCCTCTGACTGAGGAGCCCCTCAGAGCCTGTGAGCTGGGGACCCCAGGTTGGGAACTAGATTTTTTTAAATGATGCATCTGAGAGCAGGTTGTGGAAGTGAAGTTTAAAAAACTAAGACCTAATGGGCTGGATCCCTGAATAGCCAGATACGGATGTTCCTTTAGGGACCTGGGACCGTGCGATGCCAGGGCTGATTTATGGCCTTCTGGCAGATAGACAGAAGGAGGGACGCTGGACTAGGGGGCAAGCGGTTGTGTTCTTCCTCAGCCAGCTCCGTTGGGATTTGAGAGCTCTGTGAAGGGGCGTGGATATTTGAATCTGAGTGCAAACTGGCCAGGGTGTGGTCCTGAAAGGTTTGCAGGGTGTGGGTTTGTGAGGGGGGATGTGGCTGCTACAGGGAGGGGACATCTAGTGGTGAGTCCGATGCGAAGCTCGAAGTACCAAGTGCCAGATCTGATTTTCATTGAAGAATAGTATACTTTTCACAGAAAAAAAGGACCCTCACTCAGACCACAGACTGAACCCCAGTTTCTAATTATAAAACCTCAGACATAGACCAGCACCCCCTCTCTGTCCCCTACACACACCTCAGTTATCTCACCACTTTCTCCCTCAGGCCAATTGCACTGAGGTCACCTCTCTCAGGAAACATGGGTTGTTATCGTCACCTTCCTGTGCTGAGGGTTACAGTGTGGTCCGCAGGTGGAAGGTCAAAGGTGAAAGTGAACATTTCTTAGGTCCTTTCTCTGCCAGGTTCCAAGAGGGAGGCATTGTATTGAGCTACTAACGATTTCACATGGTTCAGTGTAATACTGATATGGTCCCATCTTACAGATGCGATAAGTAAGGTCCAGAACAAGTATGTGTCTTGGTCAAGGTCACACTAATAATCCTCGAAACCGAGATTTGAATCACATCTGTTTCCCTAAGTAGCTTCTAAAGCACAGGCGGGGATCAAGGCTGGGCTTTGTCTCCCCAAGAATTTTCTGTGGGTGCTCAGGACCAGAGTTTGGAAGACTTCCCATTGAAGGGAGGAATAACTTTGGGACCTCAAGCTGCCCTAAAATAAGATGAAGAACACCTTTTGCTAAAAGGTGGCCCACCTTTGGAGCCAGGGAGAATTTTCCTGAATGTGTGGTTTCCCTCCAACCAGCTCTTTCCCCTTTTTGAGAGGCTGTGTGGCTGGCTGGCTTGATCAGGAGACTCAGGGGGTCCAGGTCTGCAGACCAGGCGGTGTCCTGGGAATTCCCTGTAGCATGCAGAGCGGAGGAAGTGCTCGGACTCCGCGAGTGCACTGCAGCGGGAGGACACACCTCCGGGGCTGGCTGGCTGGCTGGCTGGCTGGCTTCCTCTTGCTCACACCAAGCCCATCACACATTTAGAAACTTCAGCATTTGCGGGGAGAGCTCTGGCAATGGACTTCGCTTTGGTGTCTCATCTACAGAGCGCTTTCCACCTGGAATCTGGAGCTGGTTGCTGTGGCTCAGAGCTGTTTCTCAGTGACCAGACCGCCTCTGGCTTCTCTCTTGCCTCCCTGCAGGCTACATTCTCCAGCAGGTGTGGGCATCACTGTGCGAGCCTCCCGGGCTCCTGCTGGGGCCCTCCACTGGACTGAGGTTCAATGTGGCCGCCATGTCCCTGCAGGGTTTTCCTCATCTCCCTTTGACGCTGGCTGTGTTTGCCTGCAGATGACAGGGACAACCCTCTAGAACAGCAGCTGCCTGCTGTGGCTGCTGCTTGGGTTCTTCTAATGCCTGCAGGATTCATTATACTGCAGTGAACGCCTTCTCAGCGCAGCCAGCCCAGGAGGTGTCCTCCCAGCTCTCCACCTCCAGGATCGCGAGGCCAGGGCGTCTACATGTCTCCCGAGCACTGCAGCCCCTGCTCTGTGGCTTGGAGTTCAGAGGAGTGGCCTGCCTGGGATCGGGTGTGGGGCTGGTGCCTTGGGCATGGTTTTTGTTATGGTCTGACTGAGTGTGATCAGAACGAATGGGTAAGCTCTTGTCTTCCGAGAAGTAAATAGAAATCTTAAATGCTTCCACAAAATCGCAAGGGATATGGGGCTATAACTGGTTGAAGAGTTGTGTTTTGGATCCAGTTTTGAGTCTTTGGGGCCAAAAGAGCATTTTAAAAATCCACCCACCCACACAGCCGTCTCCTATCCACCTGATCTTGTTTGAGCAGCGAGCGGGGCTGTGCTCAGCACCGAGATGCCGTGGCGAACAGTGCAATCGGAGCCCCTGTCCCACGTGTACTCCCACCAGTGGAGTGTGTGTCCATAGACATGTGGGAAATCCCGGTCCCCAAATCAGAAGGAATTACC